CATTGAGTTTCTCAACTTTCACCTTTTCTCCCCTTGAATATCTTTCGTCCTCCTAACGCCCGTCCAACAGGTCTTATTTTCCATCTGCAGCCCACCCTGGCTCCCCCCACTCTATACGCTCCCGTGCCCAGTTGCCCCGACACCAATTTGTCTATGACAATGTGTCTTCCACTGCTGAACCTTTTTCCCTCGTCACTTCCCAAGGCAAAGATATCCTCCTGTTTCATCCCACGGTGGGCACGACGAGAAACTAGCAAGGGGGTCTGACAACCCCCGACCCCTCATCTGTCATCTGCAAAGGGGAAAAAGCACCCTCCTAATTTTTTGGGGATGGGGTTAAGCTTTGAGGGGTTGGGGGCTAGCTGGTATGGAAGTTGTTATTCTAGTGTCGGGGGGAGTCAAAGGTGAAAAGGGGGAGATCACACTGGTGATTAGCCTCCTTCATGTGCAGGAACGGAGAGAAGCAGGGGTGGGGAGGGGGGGGTTTGTTTGCTGGGCAGCTGGTGTGTAAGGTAATTAGAGGGAAGGGGTAAAATCCTGCTCTGGAGGATGGTCAGTGCTGCTAATGATGATGCTCCAGGTCAATGCATGGACACCTGGACCCCAATTAAGTGATTCCTGGTCAATTACATAAAATCTTTTTGCAAGAAAGAGACGGGATGAGCCCCGGGGATGAGAACTCTCCGAAACTCAAAATTTAAAAAGCAAATATTAGTTGACTAGCAGGCGTGCACTGAACTTCTGAAATGTCCTGCATCGGCTGGTTTAAAACTGTGGGTTCAGTCCTTTGAAATACATTCAGCTGCTCATAATGTCATAAATCACATATTTGACACTGCCAGCTGGATGAACACATCAGCTGTGAGCAACAAACGGCTTAATCTCATCTGAGGCTGCAGATTCTGTGAGTGCTGACAGGTTCTGGCCCCGGGAGCTGACGGTTTGTGAGACCTGCGAACCACCCAGGTCTTCCTGATGATGATGATGATGATGATGATGACCCTCCTCTCTGGGTCTCCCTCCTCTCTTCATCTCCATGTCCACGCCTCTCTACATGGCGCAGCAAGCCACGAGGTAGGCGAGTGTTTACATGGGCAGAAAAGACGAGGAAAAAAAAGATAAAAGAGAGAAATGGAATGCAAGAGAAAACAGCTGCATTTACAGATTCATGCCTGAGACAAAGAGCAGCTTTTGTAATGTTATTTTCGATCATTGTACTGTCTAAATTATCAAATGTCCATCGAACAGGGTATTCCAGACGTGCCTTATTTTTCAATTTATCTCTTAAAATACTCTCACAGTGCAAATTATAACGTCGCTGCCACAATGACTGATTCTCCAGTTCGGGGTTCTGTGTTCGAGCATCAGTGAACTTTGAATGAACAGGTGAACAGCTCTTTGTGCAGCAGTGGTGGTGTAGCTTCAGGGTTCTTTACTCGCTGCGGCTCAATTTCTGACAGGCAGATTTCAAATGGGCTTTATAAGTTTAAATATGGTATTTACAGTAAGATGGAAAACTTGAAATTCACCTGAAGTCATCTCTGTAGATACAGTGCAAGAATGAAATCTACGTGTGTACAGAGCATGTTTTTTTTCTTTTCTTTCGTTACAACTTTCATTTGAATTTCTAGTGTAGAATCTATTATCCCCGAGGGGCTATTTGTTGTACAGCTTTTAATCACTTAAAATCAAAAACAGATAAATACAATGTCAATGAATAAAACATAAAAATCACATGGACTAATTTATAAGGTCAATGGCAGTAGGGACTAATTTCAAATCTATTCATCCTGCATTTAGACCAAGAGAATCTGCGACCAGAGGGAAGCAACACAAAACAATTACATTAATCATTAGAAAGAAATTGAGGCTACAATCACTGAAGTTAGCTTTCATTATCTCTGTGGCAACAGAGGGTCATAGGAATTTATTACGGGTGATCGCAAATTACCTTGGAAATCATCAGGGAGTGACTTTTGCTATCTGATTGGATGTAGTTGGTGATTACGCTCCGCATGAACTGGCCCCTATTGTTCCTGGCAGTTGGAAAATTTATGTCAGTCATGCTGATTAAATCTTAAGCCTTTATTTAAATAAAGTTGCTCATCTGTCTTGCACATCAAAACACTACCAAATTTCCCATGTTCTAATTAACGATGCTGTGGAGTGAATGACATGTTGGAATCACCAATGATAGGCCCGGGGCTGGAGTGAAAAACATAAATCAAGCAAGTTAATACTCCCAATGCTTTGGTCTGTTTTGAAAGAGCACTCCCACCTCCAATGTCCTGTCAAACGTAACTTATTTACCTGCGGCTTGTGACGCACTTGGGACAGGGCTATGCGTAGTTCAAACGGCACCGATTGACAAAACTTTCCTGCGAGTCTGGATTTCCTCTTTTCGCTGACACTGATTGACGTTGCCGGTGTGATGTGTGTATGGTGCACGGTGCACGTGCAAGGCACAGTGACGCGCCTGCTGCCAAAGCTTAGTTTGCAGCCCCCCGAGCACACACACACACACGCACTCCTGCCTCTACACCTGCTGGTACTTCCCTGGGCACACACACAGACCAAAGGGAGGAAAAAGGGGACCAAAGAAAAAAAAAGACCTCCACACGTCTTAATGAGACAGAGTTGGGGTGTCTGGCATTTACCTCAAACCATTTCTTCCCCCCACTGCTGCTGCTCTCTGGAGGGCTTTAAGTCCACCTCCCGTTAACGGCTGAAGTGTGGATTTCCTGTCAAATAAGGGTTAGGGCCTAACAAAAGTCCTGTACGCTGGTACCTAAATTGGATCACTTCCAGCTGCCCTTCCTGAACGCACACTCGTCATGTGTTATAATGTCCCTATAGGGATATATACTGTGTCTGTGGTGCTCAGTATTGTCTTTATGGTGACCTTTATGACCTTTATGGTACTTTTAAACTCCTATAATCACTGTAATATTCCTGTAGGACATTTTGTGCAGTAGTTTACGCTACCCAACAGTTTCCTTGTACTATATAAACTTTATACTGCAGTTCTACTGTATGTAGCAGCAGTACCATGTCTAATGTGGCATTGGGATAAACCATGAACAGACTGTTGGCGCTGTTCTCCTTCTCCATACTTCTTTCTCTCGTGGGAATCGTTCTCACAGCAGGACAAATATTCCCTCAGTCCCTGGTAGATATTTTTCATTTTTGTCGTGATTTGATTTTCATGAGAACAGCTAAGCTGTTTTTGTTTTCTAGGGAAAATAGCGCAGTTATCTTGTGATGTGACCACAGTGGTTTAAAATTCCCAATTTGTCTCATTACAGACAAATTATGATGGACCATTTTGCATTTCTGTCCCGACGTGAGTAAACCTTAGAAGTCCTCTTCAGTTTAATTGGATGTGATGCTAATTCAGTTCACTTGCTCGAGGACAATTCAAATGCTATTTTCTTTCTTTGCTCTGTGTCTGATACTGTTTTAGATATTTTTGCAACTGGCTAATCCACTATGGTTCTCCAAGTGAATTTTGGCGTGCATAAAGAATCCTATCTGCCCTTTCAACCGAGGCGAGGCGAGTGCGGAGAGAAAGATGATGCAGGGAGCGTGATTGTTGCCAAAAACTGTCCGTCACATCAACACGAGTATTTTTCACGACACATCATCACTGACCTCACTACCCCAGTGTCTGGTTCAGCATCACCTCTTCGTCGAAGGGTGAATATGAAAGTCTTCTGTTCACATCTATTGCGACGGTTTTGATGAGCTGAAGAGCTTAAAAGAGCATTAACAGAGATTTCCTTCACAACCAGGCAAATTAAAATGTATTGCTCACTGCAGTGTTTACAGCTGATCTATGAATGATTTATGAAGCATCAGTAAAGTCATTATTTCAAGCTTAACCCTTCTTAAGCATTACCTCATTAAAATGTAGTGCCACGCGCTACCATGCAGACCAACATGAGGCTAAAAATGTCTGCGAGAATGCGCGGTAATTAAGTGCTTTGCAACTCATTTAGGACACTAGAATAGAATAGGACAGCTAAATAAGGACAGTTGCTTTCGAAATAAAAAGCCAATGTTTTATGATGAAGCTTTGCATATTAACAGAAGGGAGGGAGGGAGGAAACAGAACAAATAAACCATTATTCTATCTCTGCTGGCTTATTCTGGCTGACTGACTTTGATTAACATAATCTTAAGCCTTCATCCTTATAGAAATATGCTTTCTATTTTCTAAATTCTTTTGATAAGTGGGAGAACTTTGGGTGAAACCAATTTGTGTTTCAGGTCACAAAAAATAGCTTCCCAGGGTATTGGAAGCTATTTTTTTAAAACTAGAATGGCACTCAGTAGAGCACATGTCTCCAACGAAGGGCCAACAGTCCCCTTAAATTCAATCAGTATCCGTCCTCTCAATGTTCCAGATTATTTAAACAGGAACTATGAATTATTCCCTGGGAATTTGGTTGTTTGCATTTTCCTGCTGAAAAACAAACATAAAACAGAAATTAAAATGTAATCTCCTTAGGAGGAGGTAAAGATGTTGTATCTATCCATCTATCCATTCATCAATCCATCTACCCATCCATCTATCCATCTATCTATACATTTATCCATCCATTTATCCATCTAAAGCGTTTTCCTGGTGGTCAGGTGCTATATAGATCTCCTCCATGTTAATAGATGGCACATGGACCAAACTAAAAAGTCAATGTCAAATATTTTGTCATTTTAGGAACTTCTTTTGTCAAATCTGTATCCAGGATATTTTAGCTTAATTTCTGGATCGTTAGATGGTCGACATTGTGATGTGTATTAGTAAATGTCACTAGAACCTGCATCCGGTTTTATTTTGGCAAGAAACCACAGCCGGAAGTTGTTTGAGCTGATTACGCGGGAGTTGACGGAAGGAGCCGCTGACAGAGGAGCACACCCGAGTCAAAAGGGGGTTGAACCGAGGACGTGTGGCTCCTTGGAAAAGTGGCATCCGAGGGAGGAAGAGTGAGTCTTGTGCCGATCACCAGCCACCCGGGACTTCACACAACCACCGAGACTTCAGTCCGGACTCGAACCTGCGCCACAGCCCCTGAGCCACCATGAGGATAAACGTATGGATTTACCAGGCTCTGGTGTGCGCTGCGCTCACTGTACTGGACACAGGTAAGAGAGAGAAACTGTGGATTATGTGCATGACTGGTGTTGGTCAGTTTTTATTTCCTGCTGCAGTAGAAATAACTCCACCTAAAGAAGTTAGAAAGTTAGAGTAAGTCCAGTTCCTCGTGTTCTTTAAATTGTAAACTCAGGATTTACTTTTAAGCAGGTCAGGATATAATTTGTATATCTCGTTTAGGTTCCCCTCCTGCATAAGCATGTAAACACTTTAATTCATAACAGAGCTGTGAGAGACACTGAATGAACCTGATCACAAGTCCTGTCTTGCTCTGTGGAAAGTAATTATGAACATGAACCTGCTCAGGGCTGTTTTCTGCGAGGAGAGTTATCAAACCTCTTGATAAGGACTTTGAAGAAGAAGGAGAATCACGCTGATGCCCTGGATGATTATTCCTCCTCCTCCTCCGGGTTTGGGTCATGTTAATCCAAAGCCTATATACAAATTGTTTCTGTGGTGAGAATGGATCCTCGCTTTGTGCCATTCCAGCTGTACATCTGCTGATCTTACTGCTTTGTCGTTAAACTTTTTATACAGGTCATGGTCAATAGCATCTGTTGGGCCCGCGCCAGCAGCTTCTTTGGGGAATTGCGCTCGGGGCGCGCGGTGCGCACCACCGCCGCATCCAATAAGAAACCCAAAGGAGCTCCGCGCTGCGCCATGACGCGCGGAGTCCGTGATGTCCTGTGGCCCTGCATGCACAGTCAGAGTGTGTCCCGGCTTCACATCTGCCCCCGGCTGACATGTCACCGGGTTAAAGCACTGAATCCATAGTTACCACCTCCAGGGGGTCCCGACCCTGACCCCTGACCTCCACCCCCCTCTCTCCAGGAGCTGGGGAAAGTAAAACGCGCGCCTGAGCAGAGGTATTCTGTATGTCCCGGTAGAGAGATAGAAAAGGTGTGTGTGTGTGTGTGTGTCAGAGGGGTGGGGGTGCGTGGGCAACATCTGGCTGCAGAGCTCAGTTCACTCTCTGGAGCAGATGTAATGTCTGCTTAATTCGCACACCCCTTTAACCTACAACCCTCCTCCTCTTCATCTCACACAACTTTACAGTGTAGTAACAATGATAGATTCCATGATTATTAATATTACTTTGCTTTGACGGGGGAACTCGACCAAAACACTTATGCAGGGCACACTGGGTTCTCTGCTCAAGTGGAAGTGTCTGAGGAGGGTCAGAGTGTTGCTCCTTCACCTTTCCTCTCCACGTTTTCAAGATCAAACCAGAAATCCAAACCTGCGCCCCGTGGCCGCCCCCTTCTCATTAAATGTCATCTCTCTCACACTCACCTCCGCCCGAGCACCTTTTATCGTAATCTCCACCTTCAGCAAATGCTCTGGATTTTGGAGATAGCAGCATTCTGACTGCGAGGAGAGGAAGAGACTAAGTGAAATCTAATTGAGCGGCCTGGCCAGACATCAGGGCTGGAACAACACGGTGATGAGTGCCAGATGTGGTCCAGTCCAAACATTAATAACACGTCCTCCCAAAAACCATTTTCAACCACGAGGAGCCTCTAAACGCTCCACAGTTTACAGTATCTTAAGTACACACACAACGTCTTGTGTCGGATCTTGGCGCAGCAGCACGTTGCTGTAACTCAGTAGCATGAGATTTTCCTGTGTGATTTATTTCGCACTTGCCCCATAATTATAAAAGGAAAAACGTTTGTAACCGAACACATTGTGCATCTAAAGATCTCGCTGTGGCTCTTAGAAACACTATTTACTCTACAACTCCATCCCACTGAAGAATGGACGCTTAATTTCTTCCAGTTGGTAAAAATGATTGATATGTATCTTAAAATATGCCTGTGTCCTGCTTTTGAACCCACTTGGATCTCTTATACATTATGCCGGTTCTTTGCAATGATAAAGTTCTCTTTTGATGTCCTTTTTCCAAAGGAACGATATGTCAGGAATGATACATCATAACAAGTCCTTTTGCACATTGACAGCTTTGCATTTTTTTCGCACATAACTGATGATGTGTGTGTTTCTTCCCACGTGTTGGATACCAATCGCTCAGAGAATACTAAAAGTTTTATTAATTCATGAAACAATGACTAACGTGAGAGCTTTTTATCTGACTTCTGATATGCATCTTGATTTGTTCATTAAAAAACAAAAGCATTACGCTTGTTGCACGAAATGAAAGAGTGTAAATTTCACCACAGCAGTTATTCCGACATCTCATGCCTGATAGGGAGTCATCAATGTCATGCAGTGGGTACCACAAAGCAGTAAAACTATAAAAGAAAACAGTTTTCTTTCTCTGAGCATTAAAATATGACATATGCAGAGATCTGCAGCTCTGGAGCATATTCACCCGTTGGATGGACTCCATTCTGCTTTGCTGTCTGTCTGCACAGTTTTAGAATTTTGCAGTCAGCTATTCCTGGTTAAAGCATCAGCGCTGAGGGGCATTTAGAGATATTGTCTTTAATCCCAAACATACTTCACACCAGCCTTTCTCAATAAACTTGTGTGATCCCTCGTTGTGTCCAGCACAGCTGAAAACCTGACAAAAGCTCAGAACAAGCGGAGGCGTGAGGGTTTCATGTCAGTAAACATGGAGCATGACGCAGACTGCAGCTGGAGGGGACGCTTTCGTAGACAGCGGGCCACCAAGTTCAACGTTCAACTGTGAAACTGTCGTTTTTCCTCTGCGCCGTCCGTGCCAAAACCGTGTTCTCGCTCGTTCCAATATTTGAACCGCCAGGAGAAAACTCAAGGAAATATTCTCATTGCTTTGACAAGGTCATCTTCAGCCCCAGCAACCTGACATCAGCAGAGAAGCATTTGGCCGAATCCTCCTGTGTTTGAGCAATGTGTGATGATGCTTTGTCAGTGAAGAGGAGAGAAACAAATTCCACATGGTTTCTCCGATATCTTTTTTGCATTTGATCGATAGCTGATAAAACCACAAACCACAACCTGTATATAAAGATGGACAATGCTTATCCACCTCGTCGCTCTATCCAGAAATGATGCCAAAATATCCCAAATACAAGAGCTGCCATCTTATGCATATTTTTATAGCATCAACTAACAACTTAAAACCAAACTGGACCTTGAACAAACATCAGAAAATGTTACCACCTTAAAACAATTTTGAGAAACAAATTTTGACAACATCCACTAACGTGGAGGAGGTGGATTTATGACCACCACTACAGCCAGCCACCAGGTGGCGATCAAAATGCTTTGGCTTCTCTTTTGGGGTCTATCTTCACGTACAATCTCTGGTACAAACAAGATAACCAGTCATGTTAAAGGGTAAAAATACTTTAAAAGTACATACAAACATTGCATTTGAGTTCAATTTTATGACCCTCAGCCATAAAACACCCAGGTGATGCGATCACAGCATTGGCAGGCCCATCTCGTTCAAGCCGAACATAAAGACCGTATTGAAACATGCCAATAGACGTTCTTATGCTTCATTCTTCTTGTTTCTTCAGGTTTCTGCAGAAGGAATCATCAGTCGTTACAGAGGTATGAGAAGAGCGAGAGCCACATGCTGGTTTGCACTGACTGTCCTCAGGCCCCTCTGGTACAAAACAGCCGATCGCAGGAGCACTGCGCCCGCAAATGCAAGAATAAAAACTTCAACTGCAGGTGAGTTGTAGTTTCTCACTCCGTCTCCGACAGGCAGCACATGTTGGTTTTTTTTAATCACTCCTCCTCTCCTCTGTATGACTCAGTATTTACATTTTTTTTCTTGTTTATCGTGGCCCCATCTCCACTCAACGACTTCCCGTGTGTTTTCGACAGGGCTTTCAACTTTCAGAAGCACAACAGGAAATGCCACTTGCTTCCCTTTGACCGTTTCACCCATGGCGTGAAGAAGCAGGCCAACGTCAACTTTACGCTGTATGAAAAAAAAGGTGAATCTCTTTATTTTCACAAAGTGTGACTCTGACTCTGTTGTTTTTTCTCATGAGAACGCTCAGGTGCAGACAGGGGTTTCCACAGGTGAGTTGTTTGTCAGTGATTGCCGGTTATTGGCTTCTCGATTTTTTTAAGGTCTCTTTCTGTTGACACAATAAAAAGCAACCAGCTCTACTGCACCCCCCGCGCTGTTTAATCACTCCAGTGAGGTTTGTCGCTCGCATAAACATGCAGCGGACTTGAGTGGAGTGTAAACAATAAAAAAGTCATTGTTTACAGTCGGAGCGCTGGCTGTTGGAATCTAGCACTTTAGAATTTACGGCAGAATGTACGTAAATCCCCCCCCCCCCCCCCGGTGACATTTAATGAACTTCGGAGAGTTTTCTGTATTGAGAATAACACTCAGGCCGGGACACACTAAGACAGAAGTGGGAAAAAGTCTCATTGACCTTACATGGGAAAATGTATTCCATGTGGTCAGGAAGAGAGAGAATAAACTTTTAATTTATGAAACGCTGTATAAATTGGCACAGGAGGAATATACAGGGACAGTTTGTATCAAAGGGAAACATGAATGGATGTTTTCAAATGCTTTTTATGCCTCTGCCCTTTACTCAGATTATATAAGGGAGTGTATCATCGGCACCAAGGACTACAGAGGGAGGAGGTCTTGGACGAAGTCAAACATCACTTGCCAAGCTTGGTCAGATAATAACATCAATGAACACACGTAAGTCTCTCATCTTTAACCGAACAAGTCAAACCAAATGCTTTTTCTACATGGGACGGGTGGTTACAATTCACTTGTCACATTGAGCGTGCAGGGCCTTGGACTGCGGTTGTTTTTAGGGAGGAGAGTGTTAATTATTCATTTCCCCCTGGCCGCATTCCTGCAGCCATCAAAGCCAGCATCTCAAATCCTCTGGCCTCCGCCACCTTGCCGGATGCTCCTTCTTTATTTCTCTGTGTCTGATATAGAACAGGCCCCGGCAGCTGATTTACCGATGTTCAAATCATCCCCTTGCACCTCTGGGGTTAAGGGAAGGCGGAGGCTCTGAGACGGTTGAACGTTTATCCAGAGTTAAGTCAGATTTCTTTCAACACATGCAGGGATGTCCTCCCCAATGAGGCTGGTGTGTGTTTTTTTGTCTGTGACAGTGAAGGTCATCAGGTGTACAGTAAAGATGTGTTTTTCCACTGCTACAGGAGAAGCGAGATCAGCGACTCTGCGAGGATGGTTCTGTGCCAGCATCTCATTAGTGGTGCTCATTAGTTACGAGATATTTTAACTGCGATGGGGTGGGCCAGGGGGGTGCGAGACACAATAATAAGAGTTTGAAGAAGTACAGCGGGGACGTAAAATGAAAGAAAGAAAAGTGCAAAGATTTATGGACTGAAGTAATGTTCTGTCTGTTGTCCAGCTGAGCTCACAAAGCCACAGACATACTCAGGGAAAATACAGGTTCAGTGATTACAACACTTAGCTGTGTTGGTCCCCGTCCTTTCCTTTCGTCTCCTACAGTTCCCCTTCAATCCTTTTGTCATTATTTGTTTGACACACGCTTCAGGTTCCTTCCTGCACGGCAAATGTAGCATCTGACAACATCGCCCCTGGCTTGTCAACAACTTTTAACTTTCAAAGGGTTAAAGCGAGCTTCACTTACGGGAGATTTAGAGCCACTGTGGGGTTACCTAACATGGGACCGTCCCGCTGTGTGAGAATTACCACCATAATGAACCACGCACCATTTGAGTCTCAGGTAACTATTATTTTCATGCTTGACCGATCACCATGGGGCAGGGGTGATTTCTCAGGAGGTTCCCTTCCAGGAATGGGACTTCCACCTGTTGCCTATATTTAGTGTTTGAACCACGTTGTGTGTTGATGCCCGGCCAACCCTGGAGAGAGGAATGGAACATTGTTATTCATCTTCTTAATAATACATAACAACGCAGTCATTTGTTTATTCCTGCAGAGACCTTAATTTATTTTTCTGCTCATTTCCACTGGGAGGTCTCTTAGTGCTGTTGGCTTCGGAAACACACTGGTGCATATTGGATTTTATGTTTCGCTCAAAGGAAAAGAGAAGAAAGATCAACTCTAGGAATGATTCATGTGTCTCAATTTAAAACTTTCACCGACAGCTAGTTAGTGTAGCTTAGCAGGAAAACAAAAAACTGTGGGAACTTCTAGCATGGCTTGTCTGATGTGTGCAGAATTGGGGAGCTGTCATGTCGTCCATACAGTCTGTGGCTGTTACTCTGCACTAATTTGAACTAAACCAAGCTAAGCGTAAAAGCTTGCATGCTCCGGATCTTTTCATCTAACTCTCAGCAAGACAGTGAGTCGGTGTACTCCCCAAAATTTCAATTCTTTCCCTTAAGGACACTTCAGCAGATGTCAGCTGTCACACTCTGCGTCCAAAAAGCCTGTATTTATGTCTCCAAAATTATAAAGCAACCCCCTAACCCCTTACTTCCTTTAATCTTCCCGTCTTTTACTCCTCTGGATGCTGTAGCACCGAACCGTGACCGTGTTTGTTCCCCAGTCACCAGGTGCACATTGCTTGACATTTTGCAGCAGTTACTTCAGGTCTAGATTTCATCTTTAGTGATATCCAAAATCTAGCCAATATGTTAAGTCGGTCCAGGGAGCGAAGCATGTGTGCATAGTGTCTGCCTGCGCTCCGATGGGAACAGACTTTGGCAAGGAGATGAATAACTGGCCAACATCTGTTAGCACAACATCATTATGGTTAACTTGTTCCCATGCCACGGCCTTTTACGGACTCTCACCAGATGCTGCCTCTTTTGTGACGCGAGGAGCGTTGTATTTCCATTTATAAATTAGGGACAATGTAGTATGATAGAAATATATTACGCTTATGAGTTACACACAACAGATGTGTTTTGGCGCTTGGCAGAGCGCTGCTTCGGAGAGGGACAAGTGTTTTGTTTTAGTTAAATACGTAAGTGAAATGTCAATGTTAGACTTAACCCTGTTATATTTTGACACTTGTAGGAGTTACAGTGCGGTTGAAAGTCTTTGCCCCCCTCTTTCTCCTTTAGCTCTCTCTGTCTGTCTCTCCTTGGGCCAAGTTATATGTCTGAGATTTCTTCCACGCCTGGGCTGAATGATATTGTGCATTTGTGTAGAAGCCTTACATAAACCCCAGGGCGCAGAGGGGAGAGCATAGCAGACTCTCCCAGGAAAAGAGTCATTGCCTGGGGTAGAATGCTCAGACAAGCTGCTGAAGGGAGGGAGGGCTCTGGTTCTTTCTCCTCGTCGATCCCTGCACGTTTTTTTTAAAACTTTTTACATCATCACTGAAACACTGAGCAACTTTTTGGCTCATTCCATTGATTCTGCTCACTTTCTCCTTTTTAACCACTAAAGTGTCACATGTTTCTTCTCCTCCTCCTGTGCAAAAAACATTTTTCTCTACTCTCCCCTTCTCCGTCTCCCTGGGTGGGAGGGGGAATGCGGTCGACATGGATCAGGGGGGTGCTGACATGCCAGCTTTTCATCATCCTGCCCTGACACAAGACGGATTTCACACACTGTCCATTTAGTACGGGGATCCCATGCCGCTCCCAGTGGTTGCGTCCCACATGTTTCGTTTATCCTGGTTCTTTTTCTTACGGCTCACAGCGGCTTGGTCGCACTGACGTGATGTAGCCGTTGACAGAGAGGGATTAGGTTTAAACGTGTTCAAAGGCTGCCAGCAAATGACCTGCTTGGGCTGCTCCAAGTGGTTCGAAGCGCTGTTCTGTGCTGTTGGTGGTCACTGTGCTGTGACAGAGTCTGGCTGCTTCACACATGAGGGACCTGGGTTGTGGCAGGAATCAGTGTGGCAATCGCCCAAAAGGTGCAAACCTGGAGAGTAGAGATGTATTGATGACCTACTTTGCATATGATTGCTATGACTGCTTAGTCTAGGATTTCAAATGTAACCTGGTCACATTTTGGGGACTAACATTTCTTAAAACTGAGCCAACATCTATGGAATGAATTTATTTTGCTTGCATCTGAGAGCATTAGCAGGCAGGTACAACGCTGTATATACTAGCGGAGCAGCCAAGTGTGCAAGTACTCCCTAAAATGTATTTATACAGCTTACAGTATCAGGTAACACTTTCTCCCTCGTAGGTTTTATCCTGATAGATTCCCAGCGGAAGACCTTAGGGAGAACTTCTGTCGGAATCCGAAGAACGATCCTGGTGGTCCATGGTGCTACACCACTGACCCCAATGTACGAGCGGAGGAGTGTGGTGTGCCGCAGTGTTCGGAGGGTAAGGCCCTCCAAAATATCATTATCATTATCTCAGCTACACATTGGTGGTATTTATAGATTTCTAGCAATGTTAAAGAAATGGACATTCCTCCATCCTTTGTCCAGATCCTATTAAGAATTTATCGGGTTCTTTCTTGGCCCACGTTCCATTCTTCCACCAATTTTCTTTAAAAATCCGATCAGAAGTTTTCGCCTTATACTGCAGACAAACAAACCAACCAGTAAACACATAACTTCATTGGAGGAGGTATTAACTCAGTTAACATCAGAAAGCAAAACAGGGTTTAATCAGTGTTTATATGGTAAATATCTTTGTCTATGTCTCAGTCACAACATAAGTAAAGTTAAGTTTTGCTTTGTTGACAGACGTCTGTATGATCTGTAACGGGGAGGATTACCGAGGCAAAATGGACCATACAGAGAGCGGGAAGGAGTGCCAGCGGTGGGACTCAATGAGACCTCACAAACACCTTTTCCAGCCCAAGAAGTGAGCTGCAAACCCGCTAACCACACTCTTACATTTCTCACGGACAACACCCGCCTACGCCCATGACAGATGCTTAAATAAATGACGCTAATACTCGAGGGAGGTAGACCTCACCAGTTGTTATGACTTACTTCTCTCCCTCCTCATTACTTCTTTTCCTTCTCGTTTCCCCTCTGTTTCCTCCCTCAGGTATCGTGACAAAGATTTAAAAGACAACTACTGCCGAAACCCAGATAATCGTCGCCGTCCCTGGTGCTACACCATGGATCCGAAGACTCCGTGGGAGTACTGCAACATCACTGTGTGTGGTACGGACCTATGCACTGTATACACTCAAATGTTGGACCTGGGCTCTGTGGACAAGTCTTCAACAAATCAGCAGAAGACTAAATTACAGTTATATGCTGATTTATGGCTTTTCTTTGCCGCTGGTTTTTCTCTGTGTCTAGTCCCCTCACAAACTGATAACAAGTAAAGCCTTTTTTCAGACAGTGGCTTGAGTTTGCCTTTTACATATGAAGCAGGAGATTGTCTGGGTCAGATGCGTTCACAACAACAATTTCACCATGGGGCTGGCAGGAAAAGTTATGGAAATTGTGTGGAACAACTGACTGAAATTTCCGGACTTGAGTGCATGTCTGACACAGTTAGGAATCCTTTGTCAGATTCAAAGCATTTCGGAGCCCTTGCTTGGTTTTGGGACAAACCAACGGTGGTTTAGCACTTCCAGCAAGTGGTTTGAGTGCGTCAGGGAGTTTGTTACATGCAGGACTTTGGTGGTTTTTAGGTTCTTGTGGTCAGGTCCCCTGCAGAGTCTCAAGTCTTTTGTTTACCCAGTTCTGTGTTTCATGTGGTGATTGGGTTCAAATCCCTCCACCTCAACAAGGAAGAGTAAATAGGTTTTTGTAAATTATCAAATCTGACTTCAGAGAGCATGAAGTGTTTTACAGAGACCACTCAGATAACTAGGGGCAATAAAGCGGAGGACTACAATAGAGGCTACTGTGCTGCGATGTCCCACATTGCCACTGGAAGGTCTAATAGTGGTTTTAGTGCTGTGAACATTGTCTCTGACATTTAGATATTTAGAGGCAAGGGGCGAATTATAGGGAAAAGCTTAATTAATGCACGAAGAACAAAACAGTTGCAGATGCTTCCATGAATGACTCGGGGGTTCAGTGGATGGTGTGTGGAGCATAAAACCCCCACTGAGAACATCACTCTCCACCCCCGTGATCAAAACAACACGTGATGGAAACTGTTTTGATATTTTGAAACAATTGTGTTTGATCCCTGTTCAGAGACGCACTGAGGCTGTTTGTGGTAACTTTAAACCGAACTAAGAAAGTTTATTTTGTCACCAATTACAATATTATTGTTGAAAGAGCTTGTGCATTGTCAGGAAATGACGTATTTACACATTTACTTGTTTCCAAGGACGTCACTGTGTGTGCTTTGAAATTGATGAGTTATTTTTTTTTTTGCAATTAGTTTTTCCAATTTTTTTTATACTAAAACAATCTTAAGAGCAGTCAGTATATTGATATATTCATTATTTGCCCCTATCACTTGTGTCTGATTGAGCTGTAGTGTGGAACACTGGCCTCCATATGTATTATAAAAGAAAGAGTGGATGCCAAAAACAGGTTGCACCTTTGGAGAATTTGATTTTTTCACTGAACGCGCTTTGAAATATTCCCTCATGCTCAATGACAAACACACAGAGCATCTCTCTTTGTCTCTGTTGGCCGCATACACACATGCACTTTACAGTACATGATTTACAGCCTGGGCGGGGGATCAGCATTTGTCCAGATGTGTGTATCCCTCAATGCCTGCCCTCAGAAAGATAAAAACCACTGACCTGTGCTGCGCAGTGCACACAGACACTGGCATGCATTACATCAAGCCAAAGAATCCCTCTTTTCCACCCGCCGGCTCGTCTCTGCCTCAAAACTTTTGCTTTACTCCTCCATCTTCTCCAATCTCATTTGTCAAAGGCTAAAGAAACAGAGACAGAAATCCGGAGGGGAGAAGTCGCTCCCTACGTACCGGCTATTCCCGCTCTGCTGAAAAGCAGAATTCCATCTGAAGATGTTTGGAATAGTTTTCCGGTGGATAAAGTTGCCCCAGTCGGACCAGGCTGGATGTGATATATTTTATCTGGCTGAAATAAACAAATTCAAACCCAGATCCTGAATGTTTGATGTGAGGCTAAATGTATGTTCATGAATATGATCGAGTTCCAGGAGTTTCTCAACAGCAACCTGTGACATTGTGTGGTGTCAGCAAGTTAGATAACTGCATCTTGTTGTGGATGTCCCTACGTGCAAGAATGTGGGGCACCAGTGTTTTGAATACACATAAAGTTTCCTATCGCAGCAGAGGCGAACAGGGGGAGTGCTACTGTTTTTGATCATCTGTCTCTAGGTTAAACACGACACATTCTTCTGGGGATTAATAACTCCCTCCTTCTCTCCCTCCCTCCTTCCTGCTTTCAGTTTTTCACATTTCACTCTCTTTTTCTTTGCTTTCTTTTTCTCAAGCTTATTACACAATTACAAATCTATTTCTTTCTCTTTCTCTTCTAGAGTCAGACTCCAGCGAGGACACAGATTTCAATGTCACAACGTCCTGCGTCCAGGGGAAGGGCACAGATTACCGAGGCACAATGAATGTCACTCCTGAGGGTGTGACGTGTCAGCGCTGGGACTCTCAGTTCCCACATAACCACTCGTTTCTGCCCCAGAACTTCAAATGCAAGTGAGTCACGTTTGTTTCCTGGCTCCTGATTGGTTGGATTTGGTCCTCAGTGCTGTGTAAAGGAGGCGATTTGTTCGTTTCATGCATTTGACTGTTGAAATGCCAAGAACAGGGATTTTGGAGTTGTTAGCCACGCTGCAAAAAACACAGTCCTCAGCATCATGATTTAAATTGTAGTTTGTGTGTGTGTCACAGAGACCTGCGAGACAACTACTGCCGTAACCCCGATGGAGCAGATTACCCATGGTGCTTCACTACAGACCCTAATCAGAGGATAGCCAACTGCACCCACATCCCAAGGTGTGATGCTGAGGCGACACAAAAAATAGGTAAATGACTGAGAAAGCTTGATTTTAAAGGAACAGTGACATTTGCACATCGTGCCATAGACTTGATATGAAGCGAGCGACAGCAGCTGAAGTTGTTTTTGGCTTTTGAAATAAACATATTAAATTAAAGATTTATGGATAAGTGATCTTTTTTAACCTTTGCACAGAGTGAGGCTAGCTCTTCCTCTCTCTTTATAGGCTAAGCTCAACCAAGTGAAAGAGCTGCTGGCTTCTGTAGCTGCGTATTTACCTTCCAGACATGAGCTTTCATCGAACTCAGCAAGAGAGCAAATGTTTTGCATTTACCAAACTATTCCTTAAAGTCTGTCAAAGCCTTTTCCAGGTGCCAAATCTTTTGAAAGTTACAATTATTCTATAATTTGGTTTTGAAATCCTGGACTACAGGTGCTTGTCATGTTTTTGCAAAGAGAATTACACATTCTGTATTTTTCCCATAGGACTGGACCGCTTGGCAACTGCCCAATGAGTTCCGCTTGATGGGAGATCAAAACACCAGACTTTGTCAATAGTTCTCGCTGTCGTTTCCCATCTTTCTCTGCTTTACGTTTCAAAAGACCACACATGTCAAAAAGCGGCCAGTCAGCTTATACAAACCCTCCTCTGATTCTGTTTAAGAGAAAAGACATAGCACGGTTTAAATTTTCTATTACATTTGAGAACCACCAGTTACGCAGGGGCCCTTGACATTAAACTGATGCAAACCACAAGGAGAACACGAAACACACAAATTCCTTTCTTTGTCTCCGCACATGCATGAATGTTCGTTTACGAGTCAGCCTGCTCACAGATTTAAGTGTTTGAGAAACTGCTGAGATCTGTGATTCCAAAATAGATAAAATAACCTTATCCTGTTTTTCCTCAGAGTGTTATGAAGACATCGGAGAGATGTACCGGGGCACTTTATCCATAACTCGGTCTGGGATTCCCTGTGCCAACTGGTCACATCACATAAACAGGTAACAAACTCATTGATCCTGCATTGAAATTTGTCCTGTGTCTCCTCCTCTTTTCTCCCAGTCGAGCTTCAGCTGCGTTAAGATACACTGGAAATGTTTCCTAGAGAGGCTGACATTCTTTACAGCTCATTTTGCTCAGTGTTTGTTGACAACTTAGCCCCCATTGCCATGTGAAAATCCCTTTCATATGAATGAAGCTAAGCAGTGAAAACAAACAGCGAGAGGAAATCAGGGGGCTCCTCAGGGGTCAATACGAGGCCCAATTATTATTCATCTAACTGTCGAGAGGAAACCCTGGGGTGCTCTCCGAGTGACCCATCGTGATGGAGAGGTTGCCCACTGCAGGGCTGTTGCTTCATGCTGAAGTCAGGCTGTTGGAATTACTTAATTTATAGGAATTTTAAAAGCCAAAATGGCACAGACAGATGGACATGTTCCAGAGCTGACCCCTGACCCCAGGAAGTGCTTTCTGAGGGAAGCAGATCAAAGCCAATCAGCTCCCTCACGTTGACTGCAGCCAGCGAGTCTGTCCTGCTCAAGGTTAAGGGTCATCCCAGGAAAACTGCTAAGAGCTGCAGCTTGTTTTACATTCTCCTGGGATGTGGAATTATCTTCACCTCCTGACAAATTGATGTCTATTGCTTGGGATTATTCTTTACCCACTAGCTGCTTTCCAGGGATGTCAGAGAAGGTTATGTTTAATTTTTGTCGGACGCTGCAAAAAAGGCACAATTAAATGTGAATTTGTTCCACGGAGGATGTGGCTCCTACTGGTCTGAGCCCTGCCGAATGCTTAGAGTGCATACTTTCATACTCCCATGAGCACGCCTCACAAAACTCTACGTTTCCTTCTACGGGCTCAGTGCACCGAATGCAGAGGATTCATTGCACTAAAGAGAAGCCAGAGTCAGACTTTCCAAGCATCTACCACGGTTACTTACAGTGTAAATGAACTGTACGTGCATAAAGGTGTAACCACGACATGGTTGTGCATGTTATTGAGACACGGGCTGGCGTGAGCTCTGTGCAAAATAACAAAATGGAACATGAGAATCTGTATTTGTGTGTTTTACAGTGGGGATTCTCACTCTACAGTGTCCCATGTAGGGCTGGAGAACAACTACTGCCGGAACCCGGACCGGGACAAGCATGGCCCCTGGTGCTACACCAATCCAAATAACCGCCTGGCCTGGGACTACTGCAAACTGAAACACTGTGAGTGGCTCAAATAACCTTGTTTCCTCTCATGTCCGTCTCTGTAACAGCAGATACGTCTGGGTTCATCACTCAAATTGTAATTTTATAGCCCATATTCACAAATCACAATTTCATAGGGCGTAGTGTTGTGTGTGCAATTCATTCATTTATTTTGAACATTAGAAATTATACACACAAATGGAAAAATAAAGAAAAAGTATTATTTACAATGCCAATCTCATGTCTGTGTGCTGCTCAACGTAGGCTAGCAGAAAGATTCAAAACACCTGTAAAACCAAAGTGTTTTCATCGATGTGCCAACAAGCGCCAACGTGCTCTTTATTGAGGTTTAGAGCAGCATGTGGGATTTTCCTGCACTCGTTTCCAGCCTTTGTGCTAAGCTGATCTTGCCGGCTCATGGCATTAGCTTCATATTTACCACACAGAAGTGATATATCTCACTTTGTCCTCAGCAAGAAAGGAAAATGAGCATAGTTCCAAAAAATGCTAAACAGTTTCAAGGTGGCGTTTCTTCCACAATAACACTTTAAAAGAGAAAACATTTAGACCGACCCAATTTGTTTTTTAAATGTTTGTTGGTACGGGTGAACAAAAGGCTACACAAAGTAAAATCTTATGACAGAGTATTATTATTATTACACATAATCATCAATAATCAGACTTTGAAAAGATTGACGCAAAACATTTTCTGTTGTTTTCTGTTTTCTGTTAGAAAGAACCACACAGACTTAGAGGAAATTGAGCCTTAAGTTGAGGAGGAAATGTTTATTAATGATCGACTGTGAGGCTGTCGTTAGTGACATCTGTGTCATATTCAAAGGGAATGTAGTTTGATTGTTTCGCAATTTTAGATCCAAAAACGTTGATCCAGCTTATTTGTACTTTATTTATTTCTGAGTTACAACTAAATTTTAATAATATTACATCCTTATTCTTAAAATCTCCAATGTGTTTGTCTTCAAAGTGGCCCAGAACACTTGTAAACCCACATTCCCTGGTGTGTGTTTAATGTCCCCACATCTGAAAGCAGCTTTAGACAATTTTCCCCATGATGCACTTGGTCTAAAATATATTTTGTAAGCACATGGTGGCTATAAACCTTGTGTCCTGCATGCTGTCATCAGGAGTTACTTTGCATTACCTCAGAAATTACGACAGCTGGTCTACATAATGTAAATAAGCCTGTGAGCAGTGGGGAAGGTATGTGACACAAGCCAGGAGAAAAAATGAATAGCACTTCTTCACATCAACATTTTAATTAGAATAACCCACTAACGTGTCCCCATGCTGCGTTATGCAAAAGTTCTCAGGGAAGTGATTCCAGTGTCAGCTCAGGACAACGTGGTCCTGATCTCCTTTAACTCCTTTTAATCCTTCAGGTATAAAGAATATGAAGTATTTGAACAATGTCGCTCAGATTCCAGCTGCTTAAAAACAGAAACAAATATTTCACAAGCCTTTGCAAACACTTTAAATAGAACTAGTTTATTACAAAGCAGAAAACGTGTTATTTCCAGCCTTCATCGACTCCAACTATATTGTCATAATTTATATTTTTCACAGCCAGGCTGGTGGCTTACCTAATGTGTAAGCTGCGGTTTAGTCCAATTGGCAGAGAATATATTTGATGCTCAAACAGCAAACAGATGCAGGACTGTGCTGTCATCCTTTTATTCAAGGAAATGGCTGGTTTCAATCATGTTGCACCGAAGAGCCTCTTTTGAATGGCTGCACGATAATTACCGTAATGTAAAACATGTCCTGCATGAAGTTTTTGAGGTCTTGAGCAAATTTCATTCTGTCCCGCGGTTGCTAACTGATATAGCCTCCAACAACAAGTCAGATTTGAAGTGCTGGCAAAGTAAAGAAATGTGCGGTCGGTTTTGTGTCGTTTGAAGGTCGATGGGTCAGAACTATTCCCGCTGCTGTCACGTTTCTTCTTACCGTTTTCTTTCCCTCTATCAGGTGAATCATCTACAGTAGCTCCTCAACCAAAAAGTGAGTATAACTTTTTCTTATCTGGCTTTTACCAGTCTCGTCCTCTTCCTCCTATTCCTATCTCCAATCTCTTCCCTTTAAATGCTTTATATTGAATCCATCTGTTGTCATTTACCTGACTAATAGAATCATATTTTGCGGTCCTGTTTTGACGTTTTTAATAAATCTTTTCCCATTGAAATGTAAATGATACATCCATCTAAATAAACTGCATTAAAAATGTCTCCTTTCCTTTTTAAGATCTAACCAGACCAAAGGTTTCATGCTTCGTGCATATAAACACCAGAATAGTTGGCGGACATCGTGTGCAAGGTACAGACGGCAGCTGGGTGGTGAGCATCCAAAGAGAGTAAGTCGTATTTCTTCTTTGAGTTTTTACAGATTCTCCTTCGTCCCCCTGTCATGAATAAAAATGTCTTCTTTGCGTTTTCTCAGGAAGGCTCATTTGTGTGGCGGCTCGCTGATCAGAGAGGACTGGGTTTTGACGGACCAACAGTGCTTCACCTCTTGGTAATACTGAACTTTATCGTGTGTCTGACTTAACAAGATCCTAATGTGTGTTTCCAATGCCTGCTTCCTCAGGCCAGACCGTGTTTACTGAGACTAATCCTCAAACAGACCTGAGATATGGAACAAAACCGTTGGACTGGAGATCTGTTTAACTTCTGCAGTTGTCAGAGCCACTTGTATACTTGTACATATAGCATCTCTGTCATCTGCAGCAGTGGTTTTAATGGAAACCTCCCTATCTGTGTAGTAATATGCAGTACTGTGGGTATTACATATGGTGTAGATCAGCAGCTTTCAGCTGATACTGTGTAGGGGAGGGACTCGCTGTTTTTCTTGCACTCATAGATATCAGTCATGTGCCTGACTATTTTCATCTTGTATGATCGATTCATCGTGTAGAAAGGGTGAAAATGTGAAAAAAAAAATCACAAATACTGCAGGTTCTCCATCTTACACTGGTCCTTGTGGTCTTCAGTGTTCCAGATCTCAGGGATTACAGCGTGCAGGTCGGTCTGCGCCACCTCAACGAGTCGTCACACCACCCAAGGCTACGCATCTCCCGCCTGATTTGCGGCCCAGAGGGATCCAACCTGGTCATGCTGAAACTAGCAGAGTGAGTTTCCAACCACATGCGACGTTTCCACTGATATTTAAGATCTGAATATTTATCTATATTGCAGTTAAAGTACAATAATGGATTGTTGTGTTTGTTCTAGCCCTGCGCCTGTGTCTGAAGGTGCCTCCACGATTCATCTTCCAGTAAAAGACTGTCACATCCCCGAAGGCACCAACTGCACCATGTATGGATGGGGGGAAACCAAAAGTACTGCCTTCTCTTGCCAATATGCCAAAATGCTTCATTCCATTATCATTCAAACTAAACAGATGTAAATGTGTGACCTCTGACGCTCACTGGTTTGTGTGTTCTTCTCCGCATAGACACAGGATACGATGAAGCGCTGAACACGGTCACCATGCCGATGGTCAACAATGACATGTGCTCACAAATCAAAGGGGACGCTGGGGAAAGCAGGATATGCGCCGGCGGCAGGAGAGGAGAAGGCGTATGTGATGTAAGGAGAACGTGAATGTACAGTACTCAGAACAAAATACCACGGCAACAACTTGAAATTTAGTTTTCTTTGGAACTACTTTCTACTAGGATTTGGGGAAAATGCATGACTGTATGTAAAGATGTAGAACACAACTGCTCACCAAAAGTGAAGCCAAATCCTCTTGATCACCCCCTGGTGGCTGGCTGCAATATAGGTTGTAAGCCCAGCCTCCTCCATGTTAGTGGATGAAACATGGACCAAACTATAAAGTGCTTCTTATTACACTGATTGATTTTAATTCAAGAAAATGAGTAGTTTGGTTTGAATTTGTGAATTGATGCTATAAAAACAAGGGGAAACATCATGATTGACAGCTGAGACTTGTGATTGGTCGAGGGCGTGTCAGCAGAATCCAGCCCTTAAATTACATTCATCAGCACAAAATGGCCACGTTTCTATCCACTATATAATGTTTAATTCTCTTGATTTTCTCACAGAAAGATAACGGAGGCCCGTTGGTCTGCCAGGAGCATGAGCGTAAAGTCATCATAGGCGTGAGCATCCAGAGGACGAAATGTGCCTCGTCGCAGCCTGCACTCTTCGTCAACGTTGCTTTCTACTCTGAGTGGATTTATAAAGTGTTTAAACTTTACCCCAGCGAGAGGGACTGAAGTAAAAATCAGGACCGCACCACAGCTGGCGAGAGGAGGGGGCGACTCTGGGCCAGACCTCTCCGGCTCGGTCCGCGTGGGAGACATGAGGAGAAATCACCAGTTTGGGATTTTGTGGCCGAAGCTGTCGTTTCACGGAGAGGACGGGGACTCGTGATTGAAGTCTGGATACGATAAAGTGGAATCTCATGCGTTCTTCCACATGTAGGTTGTTAGCCTGCATAACATTTTTACAACCAAAGTCTCGGGCACATGGACGGCGTACTAATTGTATTTGGACATGAGAATGACACGTGTGACTCAGTATTATCTCCTGGAATCTACTTGAACATGGACAGAACCCAGATCCCTGTTGGACACGACTGTGACTTGGATTTATTTCTTTGCTTTTATATTTTAATGTGTTGAGCTGGACTGCAAAACTTTTATTGACCTCCAACACACACAGATGTGGACAGAAAAAGTCTACAATGTCAACAAATTTACTAATTTGGCCATAATGATGTAGGAGGCCTTAGAAATATAACCATAACAAAAAATATCCAACAAAAAAAACAAGGTTTGACCAAAATGGAAGAAGATACGAGCATGAAAAAGTCATTAAACTACATTTGACACTCTCTAGGACTGGTCTGTAACTTCAAACCTGTACTTTGCTTCAGATATACCATGAATTAAGTGTATAGAATACACTATAGCTGCTTGAAACGCTGACTGCAGCAGCCTTGGCGAACCATTCAGTGCTAATTGTGCGCAGTAGCCGGACTACCTTTTCCCCAGTTAGCTGTAACTGTTAGTTTCCCCCATGAGAGGGTCTAAGTAGGAACTGAGCAAACTGCTCCAGATCTTATGCTAATATTTGAAGCATGAGAGAGAGAAGAGCCATGCCAAATATAACATGGTTATTTGGTCTCCAGTTTGGAGGGAACTGTGGCCCCTGGCGGGCTGTGTGTGGTCAGTAGGATATTTTATATATATGTATTTCTTTTTTAATTTCATGGAAAGTGACTCCTTATGTACATAACTGCAGATTTATTGAGTATGTCTCTGCCGTGCCATAAGATTTTATCGGTCTTATAGATCTGGAATATTTTTGGTTCACTTAGTAATGTCAGATTGGCTTCTTCCTGTTTCGGATTGTGTTTAATATTTAAAAGAAAGGACTGGTGGATTGTGAGCGGTCGGTTGGTGTATTTATTTTTTTTGAAATAGCAGAAGACGTTGCAGATAATGATGGCTGGTTGATTTTTTGTTTCTAACTTTTTAATAACATGCTGCATGTTTGACTCCAGGTTAAAGACATAGAAGCAGAAATGAACATACCATTGATAATGTGCCTTATACATTCAAACCAGAGACTTGAAATAAAGATGGACGACACGTCTCCACTTCCTCCCACTATCCAGATATGAAGCCAAATTATCCCTGATACGACGCATTTGTAGCCAGAGTCTGAACAGTAGTGATCGTGGGTACACGCCGATACACGCACTCAACCAGTCATGAGTCAGTCTCATCTGTCAATCATGATGTTTTGATAACTAATTGATAACTAACCTATTTGTTTGGTCTGTGTCCCGTCTACTAACATGGAAGGAGGCAGTATTTATGATCTGCACTGCAGCCAGCCACTAGGGGGCAATCATGATGCTTTGGCTTCACTTAAGGGGAGCAGTCGTGTCTTCCATCTTTGCTTCTTAACATGCTTCAGTTTTTACATTTTAATCTTTTTTATTGGGGGGGGGGTTCACAAGGAAGTGAAAATGCATCAGGTGTTCATGCAAATACACAAACGTGAAAAAGACGACAATCAAAGATGTGCAACGGTTTTATTCCCAGGTTTTTACTTAAAAATAAAGAAACATTTAAAGTTGTGATCGAATTATTTCATGAAGAATTAGTTCTTGTCAATGAGGAGGAAACCACGAGCACTGATGTGAAATCACACTTTTGATAAATCAAACGACCACTTGCCTTTTTTGAAAATTAGCTGGAAGAAAAAAAGTGTCTCCAACATTTCCAACCATTTCTGATGAAGAAAAACTGCATATTTTAATTCCCCCGATGACCCTGTTATTCCCACGTCGTTGTCTTAAAGTGGAAATGATTTTCACTTGTTCTGAACATCACATGTAAAATGCTACGTACATTAAAAACATCCAGAAACCCTCTAATAGCCTTAGAACGATTATAACAGTCTCTGCAGTTAACAAGAAAAACGCTTCACTGACTAAACTGAGGAAACCAAACACCAAATATTCTTATGTCACGTAGCAGATCACATGACCTGTTGCTTTCTTTGTAACTGTTAATTTATGTGACTTTCTAATTTACCTTCATGTAAATATGCCTCGTGCGTCCTGTAAATTACAACTTGTAATTTTTGTAAATACCCTCCTGGAGTATTTTTACTCCCTGATCTTTCTGTTTATACATTTGTACAATCTAAACGTTAAATATAACAGCTGCTATTTTGTTTTAGTGAACGTTTTCTATCTATTGCCTTTTTCTGAATTTTGTAGCCCTTGTATTATTCCTATTTTAATAAAGAAAAACTGACATCACACGTTTCAGTACTCGTCCTTCCGCTTGGCATTTTCCTCTTGAGTTATATGTGGAATAAGGAATAGGCCGGCAGCAACAATCCAAGTGTGTTTATTCCCTTGCTTTCTTTATCACTCACAGCAGCAGCTTGTAGAGAAATACCCTGAAGTGGGTGAGAGCAGCAGATGTCCTCCATACGACGGCTGCAGAGGATAAATAATAACGTGTCTTCGGAAACATTTGGATAACAAATTTGGTTGTCCCCGCAGAGTTAAGTGATACATAGTTGAACTTGGATCCGCAGCTCGGAGACTTCTGGTTGCTCAATGTGAGATAAGATAATACTTAATGCTCCGCACGCAAGATGGATGTTTGCGTCAGTTTGTTATATCGAAGTAAAAACCTGCTTTCTGTCATTTTGTTGACACAGAGTTCGGTAGCCAGTGGTGAGATATTTGACTTAAAGAAGAAGAAGCAACGTATAAGACAGATTCTGACCTCGCTGCATTCGCCTTCTGTTAGATTTCACATTGATGCTAAGATTGAATGAATTTTAAGGCTTTACACAACAAAGACCCTGTGTTTGTCAACGACTCAACTCCCTATGACTCCCTCCCTTTACCATCTAATCTTAGATTATGATGATGATGATGGTCAGGAGTCCTACAGGAGACGAAAGTTTATCATAGACGTTCCATGTTTGTTGCTCCTTTTAAATCCCTTTTTGAAAGGTTCTGAATTAAATTTTTTATTTGTTTTTAATTGTATTTGTTTGTGAAACTTTGTAACTTGGTTATGAAAAATGCTATACGATACAATTATTATTATTATATCGTTATTATTAGAGGTAGTGGTAGAAGTAGAATTCCCTCTCCCTGCAACCCTCAGATAATGGATAAATAAGTATTATTATTATTATTATTATTATTATCACATTCCTGTGTCCTGCATAATAGAACATAATAATTATGGGCGTAAATCCTCCAAAGTAAAAGTACCCTTCGTGCAGATAAACTTTGTGACTAATGTTGTTGTGATTTATTGTTATGGATGGCTTAATTGGATTTTTAATACTGTTGCATCAATGTTTGAGCATCATTTCCTGTTGCACTGTGTTCCTGGCTGAGATGACACGCCAGGCAGTCACAAGATAAGTCTGAATCGTCAGGAGATGATTTTAGAAGAAAAACAAAGTTGCACTGAACAAATGTGTTTTCATTTTAAGGTTATTTTCTTGATTTACGTGAAACCACGTTCAGACCTTGGAGGGGGATTTTCAGTTTTGTGTGACGTGTGTGACAGATCTCAGAGGAACAAACAATTAAAACCCAAAATTTTGTCAACAACTAGTTTAAATTAGAAACAATCCCTTTGATTATATTTTATAAATGATTTATGTAATATTCAAACGGAAGATCTCAATCTGTTGTGAAATCAATTTAGTGAAGTAAAAACAATGATTTGCCTGTAAATTATCAAATCGAGTTGCATTAGACAGATATACTCAAGTAGAAATACAAGTACAGAAGTAGAATAAATGTACTGAGTAATTTTCCGACCACGATCGGTAATAGATGATTAACATAGCAGTAGAACTCCCTGCATACATGGTGTCATTTACCCGTCAGACTTCACAGCATTAGATTCCGACATGGTCATTTTACCAGAAGGCCTCATCCACGCTGCTGACCGAGCTGATCCCAGCCTCCCCCCCCCCCCGGTGACCAATTATCGAGAAGTCGTACCGTCTCTCCGCTGCAGTAAAGGGACACGGAGGAATTCGATGCCTCTGTCCTGTTGCAGTCATAAAAGCCGACACACCGAGCAGAGCAGATATCAGATCATGTTTGGACTTTTTGAAGCCGCACTTTTATAGATTTTCCCACTGGCCGATCCCTGGAAAGAAATCTTGGAGGGGCGCCTGTACCGCACTCCACACTTAAACAAACAGCGAGCCCAAGAATATGAAAGACGTAACATCCATATATTATTATAGTGGTAACCTTAAATGAGCCATGCAGATATGATTTATGTCACTATCACTGAGCGGATACGCTGTTCTGCAGAGCCGGCTGTTAACCTTCTCCTCAGATATTCCTATTTCATTTCATTTTTATCTATTAGAATTAAATTAAACGTTTGTTGGCTTCATCACACTTTGTGGAAATTCAACCAATAATTACCCCAGGGAAAAAAGAGGTTAATAGCAATAATCTGTTCAGCTTCTTTCCGTGCGTCATGTTTTAGAAAGCTGGGTTTTCTTTTCTGGATTGATTTAATGGTTCTTCTTCGTCTGTCGAATTCCAACACAAATACACAGCTGCATAAATGTACCAGGGCCTCGTGCCAGTTTGTCCGTTCTGGGCTACTGTAGAAACATGGCGGTGTCCACGGTAGCGTAACCAACTCCCTATTTAAATATAAAAGACTCATTCTAAAGTAATAAAAATATATTGTTTTGAATCTAAGGTGGCTGCACAGTTAATGCGACTTAGTTATGAGAATGATATCCAATATTTGTAAGTAGATCCTTATAATTTCTGTGCACTGTACCTATAAGATCCGTTTACATTGTCCGATATAACAAATTAAAGATTTCAGAATCCAGAATTTGGAAGAAAACGTTCTCCTTTTTAATGTGAATTTCAAGAGAAACAGATTCAAAGGAACGTGACGAGAACAATCTTTTTAACTTCAGTCATTTGTCGCCCTCTGCTGGCCAGAATGTCTCCCTCCAGTTTAGACTTTGACCTGCACCCCAATAGAAAAGTTTCTGGAGATCAGAACAACCTGCGTTATCTCATTCACATCACAGAGGCGGTCACAGATTTAGTCCAGGTACTAATGTGGACTGACGTCCCAGGTCTGCGGCGCGAACAGAAACCTCTGGTCCGTCTGAATCTGGCTCCAAGTGAGAGAAACTCCCGGCTGAGTCCAGCACTGAGTCACAGGGCGGCCTGTCCGCACCCCCTCGCTTATCACAGGGAGGGACGTCCTGGTGTCTGCGGGCCGGTGGACCAGTGGGAAAGTGAATCCCTCCGAGTGCAGAGCCAGTGGGGCCGTGTCTATGTTCTGGCTCATCAGGTTGTTTGATGAGTGGAAGAGTGATGGAGGCAGGGAGATGGACGTCACACGTGCAGGATTTCTGACACCTGAACATCAGAGTGAAGGAATCCGATTTGTTAAAAACTCATATTTGTGTCTTTGTCAAACTTCAAGTGATCACATGTCAGTCATTTAAAAAAAAACTCAACATAAAAAGGCCACTATTTAATTATTTTAGCCTTCGACATCAGTTACTGTATACATTTTTATTTAGAATTGAAAACACTGGTTTGATGAAACTGATTTTACCTGTTTCTGTGGAGAGAATGCAGCCGTTTTGTAATTTCCGAGAAACTGTGTCATACGAGGAGGAGGCATCTGAGTGTTGATGGTAGATTCTCGGCACTGCTGTTGCCTTCAAATCAACACAAACAGTTAACACTTCCAATGTGGCTACAAACAATATGTTCCTCTCCCCTGGCAATATGGACGTCTTGGATTCAAATGATGCTTTGAAATGACAGAAGTCTGTTTCTGACTTCGGCTGGAGACAGTCGAGCTCATGTTAAGACCCCGTCGCTCAAAGAAAAGAAGCTGAGGGGCTTCAAAGTTTCTCCCACAAAGTGTTACCTCCCTCTGTACCTGCTGAGATGTGAAGCTCTGCGGCATCGCTGGATTCACAGGAGGAAAATCTCTTTGCTTTTGAACATCTGTGAAGGAGAAAAACATTTTGTCAGCTTGGAACTTTCCGCTCAGTTTAGTTAATTTTGTTGTGGTTGAAGGAAAGTGTCACACACATGGTGTCTAGGCCCCAAATACACACACGCACACACACACACACACGCACACACACACACTTACTCTGAGTGGCGATCCTCTGTTTGGTTTCCCTCCTCCACTTCGCCCGTCTGTTTGAAAACCAGACCTTTGTGAGACATGTGGAGAGCAGAAGTTTTAATGATGGACAAATACATGTCACGTCTGTATTGTCCCACGTGTGGAAAACTGATTTGCAGCCATAGATCCACAGCATGCAACAAATACACAACATCAACTGTGACAATAACACAATAAAATGCAAAAAAACACAGAAGCCAAGAACAAAAGTGCCGGTGTGCTGAAATACAAATGTTCAAAGTAGCTTCAACTAAATCTGTCCTCAACCCTCGACTAGAGTTACGAAATTCAACCAGGAAAAAAATGCAGAAACCTCAAGGAGAGCCACAAGTGAGGGTCTGCAAATATACAAACATCTTCTTATTGGGTTTCCAAATGATATAACAATACACAAGAATAAAACAGATTCAATAAAACCTCGATAGAGTTGAGAAATCTACCTTGATGGTTTCCTCGGGAAGTTTGATTCTGTTCGACAGTTTCTCCCTCAGGTACATGTCTGCATACTGGCTGTGAGAAAATTCTGATTTGGGAGATGGGAACAGATACTTATTTTCTTATAATTGTGGGGGGGGGGAGTATGTAAGTAAGTGTTAGTTTGACAGATGCGTGGACTCTCAAAGATTTTTGCCGTCACCTTGCTCAAGTGCTCTGCTCTGCTCTGGGGTGAAGGTGGTGCGGTTTCTCTGCTGGACACCTTTAACTCTGAGGTCATCACTGCAGACTGTGTCTCTGTGATTCAGCTCATCTTGAATCAAATGATCAAAATCTGTGCAGCACACACACACACACACACACATTACATCAGCATCACAGAATGTCATTTCCATCTGGACTTCCCCCTCTCTGTTTATTAGTTCACCCAAATCGTGACGTGTGTTTATGTGGGAAATAAACAGGCTTAATTGAATTTTATAAACTGGGAGAACTCAACAAGAGGATTTGGGAAATGATGCATCTTGTATTCTGGTTATTTTGTTCCATAACATTCATCAACTGGAGTTTACAGGTTGCTCAGGATTT